TGTTCAGCATTTAGAAACTTGTGCTTAGAAGTAGACAACCATCGAAAGCCTAGAAAAGAAAATGTTCCATTGGGCCTTGGCAGGGACATGCGTGGCTCACTGACCTGTGTTCCCTGATTGTTTATGTCGATGGCATCACTCCATTCGGCCGTCATTTCACCCAGCAACTCTACTCTCAAAAGGAGACTAGGAAGTAAGTCTTTGGTCTTGCAGTCTGGATAACTGGAAATCTGATGATATAGTTCATGATGAACTGAACACTCTGAAGGAACTTTTCTGCAATAAACCTCAAACTTTGGAATATCTAAAAAAAAAAAAAAAAAGGGCATATGTAGACTTAGGCCTTGAAGACAAAGATTAAGGGATATTAAACATAGTGTGGTAAGAAAAACTCAAAGAAGGATTAATAATACTTTTATTTAAACATTCTTCACATGATCACAGGTATCTACTAAGTCCTCCAGAAAAAATATAGGTTTGGTATTATTTAAATTCAATGCTATAAAATATACCTTTAATATTTTCCTTTATAAGTATTGTTACTGGACATCTGTTGTGGAAAATTATTCGAGGACTAGGGTCTTCTGAGAGGGTTAAATAAGTCACTCCAAAGTGTTCTTGATATGTCAGTGCAAGAGCCCTAAAACAAAATCAAATCGAATCAAATGACAGAAATGGTTTAGAAAAAAATGAATGCTTTCTTTCCTAGTACATGTTTATTTAAATCTGCAATATTCAGAATTCTATAACATTTTCTCTTTTATAAATGAGAGGAAATGTTTTCCAGAGAAAGGAGGCCATCTTCTCAACTATTAACCGCCAGAGACTATTATGGGTTTACTGATCTTTCCCCCTGAAAACAGTAACATATATTTACACAAAATATTTTTTAAAATATGAAAAATTATTTAAAAGGAAAAAAACCATAACTCTTATCAGAGAGAATTACAGGTAACCTTATGCTAACCTTTCCTCCTGCTCTTTTACTCTCAATGCGTATGTGCCTTAAACTCTCCAGATAGGATGGATGCCTTCTTCCTCAAAAGTCCTTGGTAAATGTGGCAAAGGAGGAGCTGATGTGCTGTTAAGACTAACAGAGAATTTGGGTGCTGGCTCGCTGGCTCTCTCTCTCCCCTTGTTTTTTTTGTAAAGGTAAATAGGCTAACACTGTTTGTCGTTAATTTGCACAATCACCATACTTGACAGGATCTTCGTTTCGACTACCCCAGAGCAAAGCTGTGGTATTTGGCATCAGAAGAGCTGCTGTGTGGACACAGGCTGCCCTCTTCAATGGAGTGAGAGAAAGCTTCCGATTTAGACTATAGACTTCCAAACAATATTTTATATCAAAGCAGGGAAAACATTTCCTCTAAAGTTTAAATTACAGATTGTTCAGATTGATCAAAGAAATCGGATATTTGCCAAATGTGGTCTTCAATTTTACGCTGATTTTTAAAAGGGGTCAATAATATGCTAGAGAACGTCCCATTTGCCATTTATCCTGTTCGCCAGAGTGAGTCCTTCCTGAAATTGCATTTATCTGAAATGCCAAAGTGAACTGTCCACTAACATTTGAGGAAGTCACATCTATAACACCAGCAAAGTGCACTGTGGGATTGAGGGGAGGAGAGAGGAGGAAATGGGGCAGCAGCAAGTGAATTCACTTTCAGAGTACAGTCCTTTGATTAACATCAAAGTTCCTTTCCCAGCCTAATTTTGAAAGAGCTGGGCAAGCCAACCTCAGAGAAGGTTCTTTGTGATAGCCAAGAAAGCTGGGGGCCAGAACTAACATATGGGTACTTTTAATCTAATATGTAGCTTAATATTTAAGGATAAGATTGTTATTTTAATAAAATCATGTCTTAAAATTCTTAGAATTTTTAAACCATTTCCAAATAAAAATTTACAATTTTATCTTTCAGTTTTAAAAATAAGTTTTGCTAATCTATGGTGGAAAAATACAACCATGGATGCTAAGAAAGAGAAGCCGACTGAAAAGCAGCATAATGGAACTGTCTGAAATCTGTAGTCTATGTCTTACAGGTGCATGTGTTTTCCAAAACTTATGGAATGCACACTTTAGATTTATACATTTCATTATGCATAAATTTTCCCTAAAAGAAAAAAATTTGTAAACATATATGAACTCTAGCTAATGATATGAAGTATTTAGGAAGAAGTATACTGGTATCTTAAATTTACTCTGAAATGTATATATAAAAGAAAGAAAGATTGATGGATGGATGGATGGAGAGAGAGATGGATGGATGGACAGATGGATGGGTGGGCAGGTGGACAGAGAGACAGACGTGATCTCTAACTGGGAGGTATTTGGGAATTCACTGTAAAAAAATTTTTCCCCCAGTTTTATTGAAATAAAATAGATAATTAGTTGCTCATATTTACATTGTACAATTCAGTAAGTTTTTTTTCATTACATTGACATACAATAATCTATTAGTTTCAGTTGTATAGCCTAGTGATTAGTGCTCAAGTGATGACCCCGCTAAATCTAGTACTCCTCTTCCTCCTGACATATTACAACACTGTTGACTATTTTCCTTATGCTACACTCTACATCTCCATGTCTATTTTGTCACTATCCATTTGTGTTTCTTAATCCCTTTGCCCTTTAACACCACCCTGCAAACCCTTCCTATCTAGTAGCTCTCAAAATACTCTCTGTTATCTATGAGTTTGTTTCTGTTTTTGTTGTTATTGTTGTTTATTTTGTTCTTTAGATTCCACATGTACCTGGAATCATGTGGTATTTGTCTTTTTCTATCTGACTGACTTCATTCAGTGCAATATCCTCTAGGTCCATCAAGGCAATATCTTTTTCCATCCCCTTCCTTTTAGTCTGTGTGTGTCTTTTAATCTGAAGTGAGTCTCTTGTAGGCAGGTATGTAGGGGTCTTGTTTTCTAATCCATTCAGCCACTCTATCTTTTGGTTGGAGCACTTAATTCTTTTCCATTTGAGGTGCTTGTTGATAGGAATGTAGTTATTTCCATTCTTTATTCCTGTTTTTGATACATTTTTTTCTTCTTTAAGAAGTCTCTCCAACATTTTCTGTAATAGTGGCTTAGTGGTGATGAATTCCTTTAGCTTTTTTTTTTTTTTAATTTCTTTTGTTTTTTTTTTTTTTTTTTTTGGTCTGGGACGCTCTTTATCTGTCCTTCGACTCTAAATAATTAAGTATTGCTGGTTGTGGATTGCAGGTTGTGGATCCTGGGTCTTTATCACTTTGAATATTTTGTGCCAAGCCCATAAGACTGGCAGCTAATTTCTGAAAAGAAACTTTGCAGGACAGGATACACCTGGATGTGGCTTCGGTGGGGCCACGATTTGGGGGAGGAAGAGTTTCAGGGAATCCTCTGGGTGGAGCGACCCCTGATATCCAGTTTGATGACATCTCAGCTATGGTGGCGCTGTGTCCACACACTGGGAGTGGGGAGGGCTCCAGAGAGGAACAGTGGATACTGTTGGCACTTCTGCCTGGGCGAGAGCATTGCCTCCAGTCCTCGCTCTGACGACTCAGTGTCCCCCTGTAAGTCCTCGGTGCACCCCAAGCAGCCAACTGGGCACTGGTGCTCAGAGCAAGTGAGTCAGCCACTGCGAAAGTCTGCTCGCAGACACGACTCCTTAAGAGGCGTCTGCAGCTGCCGTAGCCTCTGTCCCACTCAGCTGCTGGGGACTGGGCGGCCTCGCCTCTTCTGTCCCTCCTACCTTCTACAGTTACAGGGTGATTTCTTATTTCTCTTCCTAGTTATAGGGCTTCTGTTCCTCTAGACCCCGGGTGATTCTGCTTGCTGTTTGCTCTGTGTTTCTGTCCCAACTTTGATGTGGTTGCAAGAGCAGATGAAAAAAACCACTATCATCTAGGTCATTTTGCCCCCAGATCCTCACTGTAAAAATTTTTTCAACTTTTCTATATATTTGAAATTTTCAATAAAACATTGGGAAAAAAATGTTTTATTTTCTAAATATAGGTTCACATCATTTTAAAAAACACTTCTCTAAACTGACCACACTTAACTTCTCCAACCAGAATATAAGAATAACCTAACCACTCCTCTACAGAGTTAGGGATGAAAGGTGTTAAAAACCAGGGATGTCTGTGAATGCTGTGAGAGAAGAAGGGATGCGCGCAGGGAGCAGGGCCTTATTATTATGAGTGACACAAGTTAGGAAGTTATTTTTACAAACATTACTACTAGAAATCTCTGTATATATCACAAAGTCAGGATGGCTAAATTCTCAAATAAAGACTATAAATTAATAATTTTAAGAGTGAGGTACCTCTCATAAGGTCATAATATGTTTTCTTTTGTATTTTTTACATATACCACAAATAAATTATTTCTAACAACTATAGAAAGGACATATGGCATGCAAAACAATCACAAAATAAAAGTCCACTATGAACAAACCATTACATGTCTCTGGCTTGATTCTGTGGTTGTTATTTGCATAATTGGTAATCGGTAATTGGAGTAGCTTTCGTGCAAGAACAACCACAGAACAGAGTCTTCTGTGACTTGTGTTTATCTAAGTTATCTCTCTTAATGACTTCTTGAGAAAAATTCCATTTTGAAGTAAAAGTAAAATATGGGAAAAGAAGGTTTTCCAACTTGACTCCTATTTTAACTCTTATTTCTCATCATTGACAGAGGTTGAGAAATAAAAGCAAGCAATCTTTCATTACGATGTATTGCTGCTATTCCATGGCACAAACACCATCATTTTGCCCTCGGATAAGCTGCATAAGGGGAAAATCTCATCAGCAGTACATGGGGGCAACCCATCGGTGATCATAACATTTGCTCAACTGCATACAATGTCTACAAGCCATAAAAAATAAAAGTAAAGTCTAGTTTTACACTTGGTGAGTCCTGCAACTATTCTCCTCTCTTGGTACCTTGATGAACAGCTATAATGACAAGGAAAGGACATCCACGCGTAGGTAAAATACCTGGTACAGAATCCATAAAAAACCAAAGGGCACTGCCACACTCTGTCTGGGAAACTCTTGTCGAACTACAGCTGGCAGGCTCCAGCACTGTGAGCTGTCGGCACCTGCGGCAGGAGAAAAGGCCAGCGAGAGCTGTTTCTGTAGCAGAGATGCATCTAGTGCTGACTGACTGATGTCAGGCATTAAGTCCCAGCAAGGAAGGGAGCTGGATTTCACAGCAGGCTGCTCGTCACCTGGGCAAATGCTGAAAGTGGCACTGTCTGGAACATGAAAATACTGAAAAAAGAAAAGACAAGGCAGAAAGAGCATATTTACTACAGTAATACAGAGAAATTAATCTTTTTAAAGCACAGCTTCTAAGAAACCAAAGCCATCTATTCTCAGGAGGTGGCCAAGTGTGTGTGGGGGGGCATGGGAATATTAGAAATTCTGTTCCCATGAGAAAGAAGTAATGAGACAATTACAAGCAGTAACAGTTGGACCTGCTTTTCTAGGCATAATGAAACATGATGAAGCTGGGTGATTTAACAGGTAATGTAAAGTTCTCAACGTCCTCCAGGTATTGCAAAAATGCAGATTCTATTAGAAATGGCAGGTGTTGGGGAGGGAGACCTCGTGGACAGG